GCTCTGCCTCAGGGAGGTTCTCGAGACTGGAACCCACAAGAGGAAGTGTAGGCGGATGTCCTGAGGAGACTGCTTTGCACAGGGGACCTTCAGAGCTGCACCCCAAGTTTGAATCTACAGCCAAAGAAAACTGCCTGGTAGGGGAAGACGAGGACTTTGTGGACTTGGAAGAGCTTTCTTCTCAGACTGAGAGCAGAAAGGACAGGAGAGACACTGTGCAGGAGTGCCTTCCAGCTGACCGGGACGCAGGGGAGAAGACTGAGTTGAAGACAGACGCCTCCACTGCGGAGATGCGGGCGCAGACAGGCCTGAGCATCCCGGTCGCAGACAGCGATGCCGAGCTGAAAGGGACCCTGGATTCAGAGACGTGTGAGAAGCAAGACACCAAGCCGGAGGTGGACAAGCAGTCCAGCTCCCCAGAAGGCCAAGTGGAGAACTCACTGAGTATCCACGAAGATCTAGATAAAGTTAAACTCATTGAGTATTACCTAAACAAGAATAAAGAAGGGCCCCCGCTCTCCGACAATTTGCAGATGGCAAAATTGAGTGACAGCAGAAGTACTGAGCCAGCGGGGATCGACATCACCCTAAGCAGCTCGCTCCTCCGGGCGGGCGATCCGCCTCCTGAGAGCACAGAGGATCCAGATAAGACCCAGGGAGGGCAGGACGGGGCGCCTCGTGCTCTCCAGGTGGACACTGATGTGGGAGAACATAGAATTAAAGAGTCTCTGGACTCCGCTTTGGAACCAGCCCTGGACAGCAGCTGCCCTGGCCTCCAGATGGACAATAAATCTGAAATTCAGTTATGGCTGCTGAAGAGGATTCAGGTGCCCATCGAAGGTAATCTGTTTTTCTTTAGTGCCATGTTTCTGGTGCATAATCGGCTTTCTGAAGCCTGTGTCTGTAATAGCCAAAGTAGTACAATTATTTGAGAACAGCATTTTCCCAGTAGATCGCGTCCTCACTGCTAGTAGTAATCATTAAGGTAAAAATTGATGAAATAGGCTATTTTGTAACTCAAAATTATATCATTGATTTCTACTTCAAAAGTTGTTTATTTTATTTAAAAAAAAAAATCTTTCAAGTACCTTTCTATTTTTAGCCTGCATTTCTAAACCAAGAGTTTCACTTTTTTTTTTTCCCATTATTTGAGACAGGGTCTTACCGTGTAGCCCAGGCTGATCTCAAGGTCCTCCTGCCTCAGCCCCCCAGGTGTTGGGATTACAGATATCCAGGACCACACCCAGCTAAGATGATTTTTAAGAGATTTAATTCTAAATTGTATTGCAGAGCGACATGATGCTTCCTCGTGCCCCTCACTGATGTGTGTGCCGGGGACTGTCAGGTCCTGCAGGTGTGCTCTTGAGTTGGTTTTCGTGTGATTCTCCAGTGTGTAGCACCTCGTCTGATGCACTCCCACCTGATGCTGTACAGCTTTTTCCTTTGGTGCAGAATTTACTCGTCCTAAGTTTTACATTTCAGCTTTGTCATGTGCAATGCAGATATCCTTCCTTCGAAAGAAGAAAAGAGCAAGAGCCCACCCATGTTCCTGTGCATCAGAGTGGGCAAGCCGATGCGGAAGTCCTTTGCCACGCACACGGCCGCCATGGTCCAGCAGTATGGCCGGCGCAGGAAGCAGCCTGAGTACTGGTTCGCGGTGCCTCGGGAGAGGTGAGTGCAGGCTGCACAGGGAGCCTGGGGGCAGGTGGCAGAGCACTGGGCTGCAGAGGATGGCGGCAGAGGACATGCAGAGGATGGCGGCGGGGACGCGCTGGCCCATTCCCCGGAGCACGGTGTCCCTGAGCTTCAGACGGTAGATTTTCCTCCTGGATGAGAGCGCTCTCCTGATTGTTGGCTGTGGAGTTGCTAGAAGGGTGCTCAGGGGCTCCCTGCTAACCGAGGTTGTGGTACCACGCGGCCTCCACAGGCGCTTGTGCTGGGCCATTTCCGGGCCTCCTTGCTTTCAAGCACAGAAGGTGCAGGCGTTCTCAGGGCCGGCCACTGGAGCACTCTTCTTGGGGGCTAAGGAACGCCATGGGGCACGCTGAGACCCAGCCGAGTGCATTAGACAAGTGCGATGAGTTGTACTTGATTTTTTTTTTTTTTTTTGTATTTAGGACTGCATGTACAGGATATATAGGGTCTCTCTATGTAGGTCAGACTCGTAGTGATCCTCCTGTTTACAGCCTCCCAAGTGCTGGGATTACAGGCGCGCCACCAGGCCCAGTCTCAGTCACTTGTTAGTTTCTACGTGTAAGTAAGAACATTTCTCGTTTGCCTCTCTGCGTCTGGTCTGTTTCAGCTGGCATGGTGCCTCCAGGCCTGCTCATGTTGCTCCCAGTGACAGGGTCTCCCCGCGTGCCACATTTGCTTCCCGTGTACCACAGTTCTGTCTCCCTCCATGCATGGGCGGCACTCAGCTCCTTACACACCCTGACTGTTGTGGAAGCGCTGTAGTGAACCGAAGAATACGGAGAGACTTGTACTTTGAAGTGTCTCCAAAAAAGACATTTTATTGGTTATGTGAAAAGTTTACAGTGGCAGAGTGTCATGGAAATTTGTTAGCAATGTATCACTGAAGTTCTCTTTCTAACAGACTCTTTTTTTATTTTTTTGTATTTTAGGGAAGGATCTACAGGGTCTCACTTGAAGATCTCTTTATAAGAAAAATAATTAAGAAATAGTTCATTTTAGAAAAACAGTAAGAGGCCTGCTTGGGCTACATAGTGAGATCGTGTCTAAATACTCTTAGGAAAAAAAAAATGTTTTCCTTTGGTCTACGTAGAATAGAAAATACCTTTAGGAGAGACCTGCGTCTTGGTTACTTTTCTCAGTGCTGAGAAAAAAAATGCCTGACACCAAAATTACAGGAGGAAAGGCTTATTCAGGTCACAGTTGCAGAGGTTTCGGGCCATGCTCAGCTGCCTCCAGGGCAGGGTGGCGAGGCCGAGGAGGAACAGCCCACAGCAGGCTGAAGGCACAAGCAGTGACGCGGGAAGCAGCTCCACCCCGCCTCTCCATCTTACGTATTCCAGCCAGGCCACTCACCCTTTGCATGGTGCCCCCCACACGCAGGGTGAGGCACCCTCAGTCCCAGCAGCACGCCCAAGATCCAGCCGGCTCTGAAAAGCCCCATCAGTGGGTGCATGCAGCACTGGGGGACGTGAGGACACAAGCCGTCACAGACGTGCCGGTCACTGTGCCTGTGAAAGCCACACCTCACCTTTCCTGACTGCTCATAGGACTTGGTCACTAGGCAGACCTATCAGATCACGCAGGTGACGAGTGCAGAACCCCGCAGTGAGCACCCTTAGCTTGAATTCTATAGCAAGTTAATCCAGACAAGAGGGCTGTGTGGAGAGGAGCACAGCACCTGCCTGGCCAGCGCACAGTCCTGAGTTTGAGTGCCGGTGCAAAATATTAAAAAATTGAAGCAAGGGTACCTCTGGATGATTATTGCCCAGAGTGATATTCCCATTACGAGAGTTGTCTCACTTTTAATAAATTATAATTTAGTGTGAAAGTAATAGTACTTTTACTGTTGAATTTGTTAAGGGATCTTCTCTCTTAGACATCAGCCCACGTCAGCATGGACATTTCTCATTGGCTTTGTGCTGTGTCATGTCCTTCCTGCCCTGTGCCCACAACCCGCACAGGAGCTCGCCTGGACTTCCAAGGAGGAGTACTGTGGGAAGAAGGTGGTGTCTTTAGCTATTATTTTAAAATATTTGAGCAGAAGCTATGTAAATTTCTGAAGGCCTATTAAAATTGGAGTCCTACAATTATAATTTCCATGTTTATAGCAACAAAACTCATAATAGCAAATCTTGGAAAAGATACTAGATGGGTAGATAGATAGATAGATAGATAGATAGATAAATACAGGTACAGATAGCCATCAATACATGAATGGATAAAGAAAATTTGCCCACGCACGGTGGTGCACACCTATAGTCACAGCACTCATGAGGCTGAAGCAGGAGGAGCCTTGTGAGTTGAGACCAGCCTGGACTACAAAGCGGCCTTAAAGCCAACCTGAACTGCATTGCAAGACTCTGTCTCAAAAAGACAAAAAGAAAAAGAAAAGTGATTGTATACGGTGCATGGTGCTCTGCCATGAAGAGGGATCCGTGCGAGCAACTCGTTTAACAGGAAACGTACCTTAAGGCCATCGTGTTAAGTGAAATAACTAGATGCACAAGCCTGAACGTCACCCAGCTTCCAATGTGTGAGAAACCGAAGTATAAGTAGTTTGAAAAGAGAGGCAGCAGACAGCAGGGAGATAAGTCTGTTGCAAGTGGAAAGGTGCTTCCAAGGAAGGGAGAAGGAGGGGAGAAGGGAGTGAAAGAAGAGATACAGAGTGAGTGTAATCACCATGCGTGTCCTGTAACCTGTACCAAAGGAGAGGCTTGGCCTCCTTTAAAAAAATGATTGTAATGATCGTAGATTTAGGCCATGTCCTCCTTTTATAAATGAGAAAAGCACAGCACCAAAATTTCAGCCACACTGCGGGTCATGAGGGCGTTCATCCACTTTCAGAAAAATTACCAACTACACGTGTCACTTAGGAAAATGAATTAGAAAACTGTTTTAATTGTATTGCCATTAATGAGGATTTTATGTACCACACAATCTTGTAGCATAATTAAGCAATCCCACCATCATACAATTCTTTTTACTGACATTTAAGCCAGAAGAAATCTTCAAAGCTGAAGTAGGACTTCTCTTTGGCCTCTTATGTAAGAGGTTTCTGTGAGCTTTTCAAAGTAGGTCGTTTGCTGGATTCCATTATACTATATTTTATGGTGTCTGTGATGGACTTGTGTTTCCGTAGTATAGTTTTCTTTCTTGAGCTAATTATTAATAAGTCAACTATTTTCTTGGTGTTACTATGTTTCACTATTGCTAATTATGATAGTTTTTTAAATACAGATTTTAGAACATTTTTTATAATTGCTACCTTTTTGTATTCCCACCTCTCCATGCCCTGAAGGAGCCCACATTTTAGTTTAACAGGAAACAGTTGGGCAGGACTGTGATGAATTCCCAGTACACATGCAGGAGCACAGGAAGAGAGCTCATTGTTACTGTGATTCGTGAGCTCTTCAGCGCTCAGCGCGCGTCCTTCAGGAGGAGCCGAGAAGTGGCCCACGGTGGCTTGCTTGCTCAGAGAATTTCTGGACTCCTGTGCCACCTGCGTCTGAAGGGGTCTGTGTTCTGAACCTTCCTCCTGTCTCACGGCCCCATGTGTCTGTCAGAGATCCAGGAGCCGTGTGAAGTCACCCTCACAGTGGCTCCCTCCCCAGCCTGCAGAGTCTCCTTTTTAGAGATGTGACAGCTTGTTCGCTGAGGGTAGGTTTCTTTGACCCTTTGCTGCTTTTTTCTGTCCGTTTGCAGTACGTGATGCTGGTATTGTGGGGAGCTGGCACACGTGTGTAGCACACCTTCACTCTTTCTCTGTCTCCTTCCCTCGCCTCCCTCCTGCTCCTTCGAGCTTGGTCCCTTTGTCACCTCAGTGTTTCCTTCTGAGGACCCTAATACATTTTCGTAGAATATTGCTTTCTCCTTGTGTGTTATTGTAAGTAGTGTGCTCTACCAGTGGCCCCTGCTTTTTGGGGTGCTCCACGGCTCCCTTAACCCCGTCACCAAATGATGGGTGAACGAGGAAGAAAGCATAGAGGGTGGACAAGGAGAGGCCAGGTGAAAAGCAGAGGTGGCATTTGTTAGGACTGTTGTTTTGGGTGGGTGTTTTTTTTCCCCTCTACAGAAATTATTAATGTTCAGATGCTAGAAGTTGGAAATGGAGAACAGTTAAAAACTACCTGAAAAGAAAGTAGCAATATTTTCCTTGGTCTGAGTTGTAGAAGATCTAAGAGCTCCCTGTGCCCTGGACAACTGGCAGTTTCTTCTTGAGCAACTGCACACACCCCTGGCAGCACCCTCAGCATCCTGGGGAACAAGTGTGTTTCACCCCAATGCTACAGAATCAGGGATGACTGTTGGACACTTGCAGATGACCCTAGTGGGCTTGGGACATCTATAATATTTTAAGAACTTGAGCCAGTGAGATAGCTCAGCTGTACAGGTGCCTGCCTAGCATGTGCAAGGTCCTGAGTTTGATTCCCAGTACCAAAAAAGTCTCACACGCCTCAAAGACCTGTGCTAACTTAACCATCAGGATGATGGATAATGCCACTTCTGTTTTCATAAGCTAGTGCAGGTTGAAAATCCTTCATCTGAAACAGTTGGGAGCAGAGCTGTTTCATATTTCCATTTTTTGGATCTTGGAATATTTGCGTGTACTTTACCAAGTGACCATTGTTTATCCAGAATTGTGAAATCTGAAACAGAACATTTGGAATCCAAAACTTCAGGAGTACCAACATGACACTGAAAAGCTTCCAGATTTCCAGCCTTCCTTAGGGCTGTTTCACCTGCACACCTCCGCGGGGTGCTGCACAGTGGCCCTGCTGACATTTGTGGCTGTCGAGTTCCTTGCTGGCAGAGGTGGCGAAATCCTGTGAACTGCAGGGTGTTGAGCAACCCGTGGCCTCTGCCCACCGCATACCAGCAGCTGCCCCAGCTGCCATAGGCACGGAGTCCCGTGACAGTGCGGGACGTCCTGTGGGCAGGCTCGCTTCCCGCTGGGAAGCCCTGCTCCAGTGTCAGCC